CTGCTGCCCCGCCCTCCTCCTCCTCCTCCTCCCCCTGCTCCGTGCTGTTGTTGCCGTTGCACTCTCACTTCTGAAGGAATAAGTATTGTTGATCCCCCCCGTCCGGTGCACATGTTTTGTTCGATTGAAGCGCCCTTCCCGGGGCTCGCACCCTGTTTTTTAGCAGGGAAAGTCTTGAAGGTCAAAGCTGTGTCGTTGGCCCCGGGTTACAACAACAACGGCTCCCGCCTGAGACTTCCTCACAATTTAGCCAGGACCCCCGCTCCCGCCTGAGACTTCCTTGCGTTATATTCAGGAATCGCGCTCTCGCTTGGGACTTCCCTACAATTTATTCAGGAATCGCTCTCCCGGCGCTCTGGAGTCGCGCTCTCGCTGGAGACGTGTTTGCAATTTACTGAAGAATAGCGTCCTTGCGGTGGAAATTCTTACCATTTATTCAAGCGCCGCGCTCCCGACACCCATGCACCCAGGAGTCGCGCTCACGTTTAGGACTCCCTCGCACATTACCTAAGAATCGGGATCTCGCTGCCCTTCGTGGCCCCGTTGCAGCCCTTCGTGGCCCCCTCGCTTTGTTTCGTGGCCCCGTTGCAGCCCTTCGTGGCCCCCTCGCTGCCCTTCGCGGCCCCGTTGTAGCCCCTCGTGGCCTCCTCGCTGCCCTTCGCGGCCCCGTTGCAGCCCTTCGTGGCCCCCTCGCTTTGTTTCGTGGCCCCGTTGTAGCCCTTCGTGGCCCCCTCGCTGCCCTTCGTGGCCCCGTCGCAGCCCTTCGTTGCCCCGTTGCAGCCCTTCGCGGCCCCCTCGCTGCCCTTCGTGGCCCCCTCGCTGCCTTTCGTGTCCCCATATATGTATGCCCTTCGTGGCCCCCGCTCGTTCGCGCCCGTGGTGGCCCCATATGCATGCCCTTCGTGGCCCCGCTGTCGCCCTTCGTGGCCCCCTCGCTGCTCTTCGTGGCCCCGTTGCTGCCCTCAGTGGCCCCGTCCTTGCCCTCCGCGGCCCAATATACGTATGCCCTTCGTGGCCCCCGTTCGTTCGCGCCCGTTGTGGTCCCATGTGCATGCCCTTCGTGGCCCCGCTGTCGCCGTTTGTGGCCCCCTCACTGCCCTACGTGGCCCAGTTGCTACGTCGTTGCCTTCTGTGGTCCCGCATGATCTGCCCTTCGTGGCCCCCGATCGTTCGCGCCCGTCGTGGCCCCATGCGCATGCCCGTCGTGGCCACGTCGTCGCCCTTCGTAGCCCCCTTCCTGCCCTTCGTGGCCCCGCTGTCGCCCTTCGTGGCCCCCTCGCTGCCTTTCGTGGCCCCGTTGCTGCCCTCAGTGGCCCCGTCCTTGCCCTCCGCGGCCCAGTATACGTATGCCCTTCGTGGCCCCCGCTCGTTCGCGCTCTTCGTGGCCCCATACGCATTCCCTTCGTGTCCCCGCTGTCGCCCTTCGTGGCCTACTTCGTGTCCTTGTGGCCTGCTGTCGTTGTCTCTCGCTCTCGCTTTCGCTCGTCGTCGTCGCCGCGTCGTCGTCGTCGTCGTCGTCGTGGTCGGTCCCCTGTCCGTCCCTCTTGGGGTCGGGTCGACGGTCCGCGGCCGCCCCGCCGATCAGCGCTGCCGCTGGCCAGGCCGACGGTCCGCGGCCGCCCCGCCGCTTGCCGGGGCCCGGCCTGCAGGGAAGAAAGGTATAACCCCCAAAAAGGGTTCGATCGAAGACGAAGAGGGCGGGTATCGAGGGTTTGGGAAATACGCGGTATTGGACGCTCGAGCAGATAAAGGACGAGCAGTCTTAAAATGAGTGTTGCTGTTGTTGTTGTTGCTGTTGTTATATGTGTTGATGCTACTGTTGGTGTTATGGTTGTTGTTAGTTGTGCTATTGTTGTTGCTGGTGCTGTTGTTAGTAGTGTTAGCATTATTATTCATACGAATGGTATTACATGGTTCATAATCATACAATCAACCGTTTAATTCGCATTACTAGTCTTGATCTTCTATGCTTTATTAATATTTTTAATATTGTTGCTAGATTGCATTGTTGTTCGTAGGTGGTTACTACGACTGTACTTATCATTACTGTTATGCATATGATTACTAGTCATCTACATATTATTGTTATTATTGTGTTCTTGATCGGTCTCCTCTTCTTGTTCCTGCTTGATTCCTTCCCCTCCCGCACTTCCGACGAGATGTCTTTTCCCACCCAGGCGCTCGCCCTCGATTTCGGTGTGCGGGATCACAGAAACGACGGGCCCAGGACGAAACGCTGCCCCCTGGGGAAGGGAGTCGGGGGCCCCGGGGCTACGGATGGAAGAACTCGGGGCGGACGCCTGGGTTTTCTGCTCGGCAAGCCCAACGTCCTCCTCCCGCCTCCTCCTCCCTCCTTCCCCTCCACTTTCCTCCTCCCCCTCCTTCCCTCCCTCCCTCCCTCCCTCCCTCCCTCCCTCCCTCCCTCCCTCTCCTCCTCCTCCTCCTCCTCCCCTCTCCATTTCCTCCTCCTCCTCCTCCTCCTCCTTCCTTCTCCTCTCCTCCTCCTCCTCCTCCTCCTCCTCCTCCTCCTCCTCGTTCCTCCTCCTCCCTCGTTCCTCCTCCTCCTTACTCGTCCTCCCTCCACCTCCTCCTCCTCCTCCTCATCATCATCCTCCTCCTTCTTCTCCTCCTCCTCGGGTTCCTACAGACGGGTAACGACCTCAGAGGCTCGTGAGAAGGCCGCTCGATGCCAAGGGAGGAAGCGCACCAGGCTGTGCAGTCCCTCGATCAGCCGAGCAAGGGCCTTCGGAGCTGGCCCCACAGCGAAAGCCTCTTGGGGCTCGGCGATCATGGGGGCGCCCAACGGCCGCCTCCGTCGGCTGCGCGTCGGGGCCATCGAGGCGAGAGGCCGGCCAGCCTTGGCCAGTCAGGTGGCTCGAAGCGGGATCCCCTGACGATCGTCACCAAGACGGCGCCGATGGCCTGAGTCGAGATGATCTGGGCCTCCCTGCTCCCCGAGGCGGCGGCCCGCTCCTGCCTCGCCGCCGGCCTGGGCCTCGCCAAGAGGATGCACCCCTGGCGCCTGGTGAAGGAGCCGATCAGCGCCTCGGTGCTCACGCTCGAGCGGGTCGGCTGGGGATTCATCGGCGGCGTCTCCTATAGGCTCCATGACGCGTTGGGTCACGAATGTCACGTGCGTCGCTACTCGCCAGCGTTTTTCGGCCACATGGCCCCCAGGGCTGCCGACGAGCCATCGGGCTTGAGGAGGTGAAGCGGCACGGCTCCAGCATGTGGGGCTGGGAGGTCCCACCCTTCTGGCAGCCGATCCTCGACCTGGTCGGCCACCGCTCTGAGGTGTGGGACCTGCACCACCAGAGGGCGCTGCGCTGCCTCATCCAGAACACCTACTGGTGCCAGGCCAGGGTCGGAGCGGAGGACTCCTCCGTCCCGAAGAGCTGCCAGCTCTGCGACCACCCAGTCGGCTCCCTCTTCCACAGGCGGTTCAGGTGCGAGGCTCACGATGGCTGGAGGCGCGATTTTCTGGAACCGCTGTTGCGGGACGCGGCTGCACGAGTCGAGCTCATGGGCTACCCGATCAAGGAGCTGTTCGCTAGGGGGCTGTTTCCCGACGTCTCCGAGCTGGTCCAGAGAAGGCCCCGTTCCGACGACTTCTTCAAGCACGCGACCAGCTGGCCGAGCTTTGGGCGCTTCGCCGACTGGGAGCACGTCTTCGTGGACGGCTCAGGGCTCGATCAGAGCTACCCGAGCCTGAGGACAGCGGGCTGGTTCATCATCGTCTTCGACAAGCACCGCAGGCTGGTCGCTGAGGCGTGGGGCTCGGTCCCGCTGTCGGAAGGACCTGAGCAGCTGGCCAGAGACGGAGAGGACTACGCGGTGAAGGTCCTCACCGACACCATTGCCGGGGGCTCCTTCAAGCTCTACTGCGACTGCCTTGCGACAGTGCGTTGCGCTGCCAATCCTCTGGCGGCGGCAGCGGCGGGCAGCCAGCGAGCCCGCCTCTGGGCTGGACGGGCGGAGAGGCTCAAGGACGCGGAGGTCATCAAAGTCAGGGCCCACCTGGGGCCGCAGGCAGTCAGGGACGGGCTGATCACGCAGTTCGAGCTCGATGGCAAAGCCTTGGCCGACGCCCGAGCTAAAGAAGGTGCCTCTGCGGTCCGAGCGGACTGCAACGACATCAACTGCATCGAGGGCTGCCTTTTGATCGCCCGCCTCGCGGCGAGGTATGCGGCAGCGCAGGAGGTGCACATCGCAGTGTCGGGCCTCCGCGACTCCATGGGGGTCAAGGCCCTGGAGATCATTGACCTGGGCGAGTGGCCCGTCGATCCTGCCGAGGCCTGTGAGGAGGATGCGGCCCCGTCGGCCCACGCGGACCGCATTTGCAAAGGGGGGAGTCCGCTGCCTGGCCTGGACGGCTCGCTGCGGCCGCGGCGCGCGCGCGGGCACTCCTTGCTCGCAGCGCCTTTCCTCCCCGAGGCAGGCGAAAATTCGGTCCTACTGTTCTGCATATCTTGTAGAGGTTACGTTTCGGACAGGAAAGGACGAGGTCTCCAGGACTACTGTCCAGGACGCCCGATTCCGAGTAGTAAACAATAATAAAATCGCCCTGGGCAGGCATCCCAAAGGGGGTGCGAAGAGGCTCGGTGAGCTAAGGTCTCCCTCGGTTGCCGAGATTTCGTTTTAGTCCGAACACTTTTCCCCTGCGCGCTCTGAGGTGACCCGGGTAGGGACCCCGTCGGAGGGCCCGAAGGCCTTCGATTCTGGAAGAGCTCTCGCTTTTCGGGCTCCAGCTGGCCCAAGCCCAGCTCTTGGGGTCGAGAGCTCTTGAGGCCAGGACGAGGGCCTTGGCGACCAGTCGACGGGGCCGTGTGGCCTCTCAACCCGATGACCTTTTCGACCCCTGATCGCTGGCTGCTCCTCGCTGTCGCGTGGGGGCGCTAGGGTCAGGGGCTGGGGGGTCCTCGGGTTGTTTGAATTTATCTGCATGACCTGTCAGGGTCGAGTCTAACCTCCTCCTCCTCCTCCTCCTCCTCCTCCTCCTC